AAATATTGATCCAGGCTCAAAATGAGCTCCTTGATATGTGCTTTAGAATGGCTTAGTCTCCATTTAAACCCAGGTTTAAAGCCTTGATGGGCAGCATAAAGCCCACTGCTCTCATTAAGACATAAAGAAGAAAGAAAAATAAAAAGCAGTCAGTTCAAAAAACACTAAGATTTTAAAATGTTCTTTTTTTCTTTTTTTATATTTTTTATTTATAAATTCCATGTATAATGGATGCACAAACACCTAATTTTATTTTAGTGTTAAATTCTGTTTAAAGTAACAGATCATTTAAAATGTCACCGGACCTTTATTGGTTGATGATTTTGTTTATTTGGACCCCGCTGATTTTTAATTGGTTACTCCCGCTCTAGGTCCTTCAGTGTTTCGCAGTAAGGTGCTAAATACCTTCTGTAAGTCTGTAGTTCAGTGTGATCTCTTCCTCCATCATGTGCTGGGGTAACTGCATCAGAGCAAATGACTTAGAAAAGCTCTACAAGCTGATAAAAAAGGCCGTCTCTCTTCTAGTAACTCCTCTAGAACATCTGGAAATGATTCAAAAAGGAGAATTCTTCATAAGATGAATAACATTTTGGACGACAGTGAGTATTTTCTTCAGGAGGTTATTAAACAAGTACAAGTATTAAGTGTCTTCAGTAAGCAGCTTCTCCAGATCTGGTGAAAGACAGATCATCCCTGCCTACCTTTCAACTCCTACAACAAACTGCAACAAAAAAATAAATAAAATGAAAAAAAAAATAATAAGTTACTGCTACATTTAATTTGACATTATTTTCAAATTGAAATTCATTGACTGACCTGAATTGAATTGAATTTGCTCTACGCACTGGTGCATAGTTATGTTGAAAGAGGAAGGGGCTAGTTCCAAACTGCTCACTCAAGAGAACATGTGTCCACCTCTCTGGAGTCCAGTGGCGCTGTGCTTTACACACTGCATGGATACAGCTCCAAGCAGTTGGTGATGTGACTTTAATATAACTTTTTGACTATTGAAATTGGTTTATCAAGCTCTCTCAAGTTTTCGTGATAAAGTGGACACGGTAAATTTAAAGGGACCAGAAAAGTGTGTTTCCGCCACAGATTCTTATTTAATGCCAGTTTTTAAAGGATGTGTCATTTACAGTAAAAAAAACTTAATGTAATTAATGTAGTTGTCAAGGAAAGCCATTGTCTTGTGCAGAAAAGCAGAGGTGCGGCAGGGTTCATTGTGATGCAAACCCTGAAAGAAAGCCAGAATACCTAAGAAAAGAAAAGTGCTGATGTCTGTTGAGTTCAATACAATTCAAATTGGTAACTCGTGTTCCCTAAAGTAATACGAATGCAACAGATATGTGCATTTTATTATTGTCCTGGAGGAATCACTGATCATGTCTAAAACAACAATCCCAATATATGAAGCTGCATGTTCTCAGTAAGTATTTTTAAAAAGCTTGTCCATACTTACTTCAAGGGTAATCATAGAACCTGCACCATATTGTGAAACCAATTCAAATGTACAAGTAGTTTCAGGATGTTTGGGATGGGATTTGGGTACAAAGTGGCTTTTTCTTTTAAGAGTAAACCTATAATGTTTCTCTTCAGGGCCGTACACGGGGCCCAGAAAATACTGAGATTAGGAGTCAGTCACGTCTAGGTGGGTTCGGTGGCGTACTCCCAAGGAAATGATTTTAGTTTAGCTTAGTTTATTTAAGATCCCCATTAGCTGTAGCAAGCTACAGCTATTCGTCCTGGGGTCCAACAACAAAATATGAAATAAAAAATTACTTTTTTAATCCCATTATTTATATCTGGCCAATTTCAGAGTCTTGAGTAGCAAAAGCAAAATCTTTATGACTTTTGAAAAGACTAGTCGGTGCATTTCTCTGTTCCTCTTTCTGTGCCTGTCATGATTGGGTTCAGGGATCTAACCCAAATGCAGAACACAACGGAGGCAGGTGAAAAGTTAAACTGTTTATTGAAGATAAACACAAGTAATATGAGTTAATAAGAGAAACAGATCCGGGACTGGTCACACAGGGTTCTCTGTAGAGAAGGACAGTTAGGTTAGCCAGGATGCCGTAGATCTTTGCCAGAGGATTAGTGCAGGTTTGTACCTGTAACGTGATTCAGATTAGCAGCTGAGGGAGGGAACCGAGTTGGGTCCAGAGGCTTGAAGTTGGCAGAGGGCAAAGCAGCGGCAGGGCTTGACTTCAGACTTATCAGTGTTCAGATCCAGAGTCTTTCTTTCGATCCTCTTCTTGAGGGCGAGCAGGCAGGTTCAGACAGTAGATTCTTCAGGTGAACTCCTGAGAGCCGACAGGCAGATTTCAGCAGACGAAACTCTTCCAGAGTTCCAGGGTTCAGTCAGGTTTCTTCCTAGGAGGCAGAGAAGACAAAAAACTGATCAGGTCCAAATTCAAAGTTCAGGGGAGTCAGAGAATCAGACAGGCTGGTTGGCTCAGGCTTTGCAAACCATAACTGGCTTAACACTCTGGCACTGGAGTGTAGTCCTGCTGCTGCTTATATGCTGGTCTCCTGATGACTGATGGATCGCAGGTGTGGTTGTCAGCTCAGCTCCAGGAGACCTAGAGGCGCCCTCTGCTGGAGGAAGGTGGACAGACCTCCAGATCCAAACAGTGCCAGACATTTTAGGAATTCTAAACTTTTAAACTTAATTCTTATGTCATCTTTGTTTTGACGTTTCTAAGTGGTTAGAAATGTGCCACAAAAGACATGAAAGAACTGAAATAGGTTGCTTCATATTTACTTCATTATTTAAAAAACACACCCAGACCCTTTTACATTATTATGTAGATGATCACACCTAATCTGCTCACTCTTGTTATAGAAAGCCAGTTTTTGAACATCTTTCTATAATAAACTTACTTCCATGCAATAAATATTTGACTGTTAAAGGTTTCATAGAATGCAAAACAAAGATTTCCATTGTCATAGATGAGTAACGATAGTTCAGTGGGTGAAATGGATGTACAGAGAAATTCAACCCCATCGGCACCTCCTTTCTCTGTAAATCTCACAATTCTAAACTTGCACCATAAAACGGGTGAATCCAAATTAGCCTTATTTGGTTCTGGCCTGTACTTTTGTCACGCCCTGACATTGACATACAGACCAGCCCACTGGTTCAATGGCCCAAGAACATGAATAGAGGTAGATGTAAGACACCAGTTTAGCTTTTAAGTCAAAAGTTGCATTTACTTCTACAAGAATTACAAAGCAGGCAGAACCACGGGAGTAAATGCAGTGTTCCAGGCTGCACGGAAAAAGGGGAACATTTTCATAGGCTCCCAAGGGTCCGAGGACACGACAAGCATGGATTATTTTTGTGTGTCAGAAGACCCCAGCAAATTTTGATGCTCAGCTGTTCATTTGCTCTCAGCATTTTACCGAATAAAGCTTTCAAAATGTTGGACAGTTCAAAGAGGGATTTGCTGAACTTCTTTTACTGAAACGAGGGGCCGTTCCCACCATAATGCCATCACAACCGTGAGCTGTAAGTATGATTCTGTCGCTAAGCTGTTGATAGCAATGCCAGCATATCTATGGTGACCAGATTTGGGTTTCTTAGGGTCACTGACTGACCAGACCAGACATTCAAATCGAGCCATCAGCTTCAGGGCTGGTCCAAACCTGACCCGGTGACGGTATGCTTCCCCCCGCCTGCCTTACCGTGCTTCACCCCACCTGCCCGCCATTGTCCAGGCTACCATCATCATTTGGTTGGGTTGCTCTGTCCCCCGCTGGCTCCCTACCCCCATCTGCCGGGGTTCCCGGACCAGCCCCGGAGCTGAAGGCTCGTTTGTGAGACCAAAATGCCGAATGATTTCGAAATTCCCCCCAGAGATTTTTAGGTATGAAAAGTAGGACAGGGTTGCTCAGTGGCTAGTGGGTAGCACTGCTGCCTTGCAGCAAGAAGGTTGTGAGTTCGATTCCCGGCCCGAGGTCTTTCCGCATGGAGTTTGCATGTTCTCCCTGAGCATGCGTGGGTTCTCTCCGGGTACTACGGCTTCCTCCCACACTCCAAAACATGACTGTTAGGTTAATTGGCTTCTCTTAATTGTCCAAAGGTGTGAGTGTGTGCGTGAATGGTGACCTGTCCAGAGTGTGTATCCTGCCTCTCGCCCGAAGACAGCTGGAAAAAGGCACCAGCACCCCTTGTGACCCACTTGGGATCAAGAGTGTAAAAAAAAATGGATGGATGAAAAGTAGGACATGTCCAGGAAAAAGAGGACGTCTGGTCACCCTACCATACCAACAATTTGATGTTTCAGTGTGTGAGTGCTTGTTGTTATCATACGTCTTTGCTCAGCAGCTTAGCTTGTTGTAAACCAACCAATCAGCGCACAGCTCATCTAAATATTCATGATCATACCATAAAAGGAAGAAATCCTGTTGTTTCATTCTAGGGCTTTTAACCAGGCTGCATTAGGGCTCATAGAACAGCAAATATGCCATTTTCAGCCCAACCAATGTTACACACCCTATTCAGAGACCTTAAGGACCAAATACCCTATAGAATTTTTTAATGTCTTGGGAAAAACTTCTACAAAAGGATGATGCTTAAGTTTCCACACTCCTTGACTGTAGTTCACGAACAATCCTAATGCCTCCATATTAAACAATATTTTTTATAGATTAGACTAATAATAATGATATTTCTTCTGTGTTCATGTTCATGCCTTAAACATTTTAAAGATCTGTTGTGCTGAGCGTTGTTCTTGTCTGCACTGTTGAATTATCTTTAAATAGAAATACATGAAAGAGAATAAGATATATGTGTATAATTGCATAAATGTATAAGTGCAGTCTCAGTACTGTGGTGTCATCTAAATCCTAACTAGGTAGAACGAGAGGGATCATTTGTATAAGTCCACGATATTGACAAACTTTTAAAATAACAATGTCTATCTACCAATCTATATATAAACAGACACACTTGAAAACATTTAATATGGGCAGGTGCTTTTATTATGATCATAGAATTGGTTGAACGTACATTTCTTGTTTCTGATGTGCTATTACAGACAACAGCCTTTTTATGAAAGCATGAATAACAATACAATTTAGCAAAGTTTTACAGATATACCAAAATGTTTAGTTAAATTTCTATACATTTAGCAAAATATTTTTTAAATCACGTTTTATGAATAATAAGTATCAATAAGAGGCATGGACAAATAGAAACATCTAGCCCTGATTATGTTGGTAAACAAAAGTTATATTTCATTTATACATAGTTTTGATAAAGGCAAAATCACAACAGAACCAAAGCATTTGCATTCAATTCAAAGCATGGATGTAATCATGTTTGAGTGGGGAGAGAGATCGACTTGAAAGAATACACGGCATCCACAATGTAGGCAATCAGGTTAAAACAGGTCATTAAACAGATAAAAAGAAGCAAATCCCAGAGGCAGTATCTTTCGCAGGGGTATGGTCTGGGATAGTTCCAAAAGAAGATGATGGGCAAGATTATGGCAGCAGTGGAGTACATCAGCACGGCCAGCAGATGGCAGGCTTTCAGAAATTTGTTTACAGATGCAGGGAAGCGGGGCAGCATGCGACCAATAGTGGAAATCATGAGGAAGATGGAAAAAATTAAACAAATGGAGAAGACAGCAATACACCACAGACCAGCTGGATGGTACTGAATAATTGGACAATGGATTAAGATAATGCAGGCCACAAAGATCTCTAGGACTTTGAGCAGGCCCGGCACAGTGGAAAGAAAGTAACTTTTTTCACCAGGTTTGGCCAGAGTCAGTCCAACCTCAACAGCATAGCAGATAAAAGCCAAGAAGGAGATAACGCTGACAACAATCTCTTTGCCGCAGTTTTCACAAGTTAAGAAGATGGAGTTGATGATGGATGCTGAGAGAACCTGCAGGAATGATAATTCAAAAGTCAGATCCTCCTTGGTTACAGAGATAGGTTAGTCTGATGTACAAATAATACAACAAAAAAGTTGTTTGACAAACTGTTAACATAAAAACATATAGAGAGGAAATGTACAGCAATGCATAATCATACTGTATGCAACTTGTGACAAAACAATTTGTCACAAGTTGTAATATATTTATATCAATATAACCCCATACATGAACAAAGATGACGAATTGGTAATTTTATAATGAATATCCTCATGAGAAGGGCTGCCTTGCAGCAAGAAGGTTCCCGGTTTGATTCCCGGCCCGCAGTCTCTTTGCTTGAGATAGGCACTAGCACACCTCGTGACCCCGCTTGGGATAAACGTTACGGAAAATGGATGGATGGATGTTCTCATGAGAGCAGCCCTCTTTAGCAATCTCTTCATCATTTCCAAATGCACTCCCATAATGCAGCACAGTTCCTCAGAAATTCTAAATTAATTCCAGCTCATATAATCTTCTGTTCAGTGTCTTTTGATGCCCTTCATTTTTAATAGGTACTGCTGTGTCCTCTGCGACCCAAGAAGTTTTAACATAATCATACCAACATCTGAGCCGCTGTTTTTCAGCTTATTGCTCTCTAAGCCTCTACGTAAACAGGCTCGGTGACTGTTGGTGGTAAGCCTCAGTTACTTCCTCCTCTTGATTTAACAACTCTACACATTCTCCTGCATGCACTTACTCAGCACATCCTCACCAGCGCACTTATGCAGCACATCAGTCGTCTCTGTGCACCATCAGCACGTCAACCATGCAACATCAGTTCATTTCCACTCCTAGAACGTCACCAGTGCTTTTTCGTTCATAACAATAAAATCTTTTTTTTTTTTCTTATTTAATTCCAATTAAGAGAAAAAAAATATCTGGAAGACTATCAGCCTCACATGAAACACTAGCAGACATGCCTCGCTCAAGCTTCAGCCAACCGACAATGGACTGCGCCCCCTCGGAATCTTCATTTAGATGAAAGCCCAGCTTCCTGTTTGGTGCATCAGCCAAACTTTCACGCACCTCTTCCACATCCTCTCTGTCATTCTTATGCTACTGTCACAGTTTTGTTTCTGTTAAGTTTTATTGTCAGTATTCAGTTTTACTTTGCTCCATGTTTTCTAGTTTTATTGGTTTAATTCCTATTTTTTTGTGTTTTCTGGATATATTTGAGTTCTCAGGTTTTTCTTTGTGGCCCTCTGTTGCCCTCTTGTGTTGGTCTCCTTTTCCCTAGCTCCTTTCTAGAAGCCTCTGTTCACACCTGCTCCTAATCAGCTCGCTAGTCCTGCCTTTGTTCAGTCAGCCATAAAGACTCTCCCTGTGCAGTTCCTCAGTGCTGGTTCCTCGTCTTTCCTCATCTTACCCTGGCTCCTTGTGCTTGTGTTCCCCGATGTCTCCATGGTTCTGGTTTGTTTAATATTTTGGATTTTTTGATTCCTGCCTCTGTTAACACTCAATTAAAACTACAAGAACTCAACTCTGCCTCCCTGCCTCTGCATTTGGGTCCTCAAACCTCCACTCAACCTGACAGCTACATTTACATCAGATGTGCTGAGCAGGAAAAAAAGCCAGCTCCTTCATTTTTTTATGCTTGTAAACATGAATCATCTCTGGTACTTCAGCTCTGCATTTAGGTCCTCAAAAACAATCAGCTAATCCTGAAAAAACTTCTACTTATTGAAAAGAATTATACTTTCTGTTGGGATCTGGAGCTGTACCACCTACCTCCAGCAGAGTTCGCTGTGGATCCTCCTGAGCTGAGACTTCGACACACCTGAAGCCCATCTCATCATCAGGAGGATCCTCAACCATATAAGCAGCCCTCAGACCTCGCATCAACGCCGCAGTGTTTATCCAGTTTGGTTAGCACCTGAGCCTCACTACCTCTGTGAAATCTTTGTTGCTTCTTGTCTCCTAGTTGGATTCTAACTCCCCTTTTGTCTCTGCCTACAGGACACCTGTTTTTGTCCTGTAAGCTCTGGATGAGCTTAACCTGTCGAGCCTGCCCTCTGAGCCAAACCTGAAGACCCTTCTCTGGATTCCCATGCTGCTCTGAACTAAGAGCTGGAAAACCGAGGTCTGTCCAAACGTTAGATGCAAGACGCTGAAGCTGAAACTGAACTCTGCTGAATCAAACAGTCTCTGGACCCAACAGTGCCTCTCTCAAAGCCAAACCCGGATTCCTCAAGGTAGACCTCAGAAGATAACATCTCCACATCCTTCTGCTACGTGGCTAACTGAACTGTCTCCCTTACAGTATCCTGTGAACCAGTTCCCTAGAAGTGAACCAGTACCTGACATAATTCCATGTGCTTGTGTACAATAAACATTGTTAAACTTTTACTCCTGTTTCCGTCTATAGTGGTGTTCTGCATATTGGGCCTCTCTGAACCAATCATGACACTTTCAGCTTCCCCTCTCAAGTGTTAACTTTCGTTTGTTAAAAACAAACTGTATCTTTCCTTTTTCGATTTGTAATTCTTTTAAAGGCAGCAGTTCTCAAATTGAATTCTCCAAAACACACAAAAAAACGTGTTGTCTTTTGTAATGCATAAATGTAATAATGTATAACAAATCATCTATAATTAACTTGATTAACAAAGCAACCTCTATATGTGATAGCTCAAACAGACAGATCAATATGTGACAATTGTAATCTGTACTCACCATTAGGGTAGCCAGCATGACAAAGAAAGCGGTAAGGTCATTCCAGGAGATGGGCAGCTTCGAGCTGAGGCTGAGGAAATCTAGGACCAGTATAAAGATGCTGACACCAAAGCAGAAGCACCAAGTGAACATGCACCAAACCGGATAGGGGAAAGGCCAGATGCCATCTGATGCAAACACGCTGAAAGTGACACAAGTAAAGATCACTTCCAGGATCCTCAAAATGCCCACAGGTGTCGTCAGCGTCTTGAAGTCCAGCGTAACCATCTTGACTGTGATCCTGCTGCGGGATGTTGTCAACCGCTACTCTGTTGCTACCCCTCCTCTCTGATGGGATCAAAAAAAAACAACAACAGAAATAATTGGCCAATAAATCATTGTTCTTCTAAAAGCAAACATTTCATGAGGTCATAATTCTTTAAAAAAGGCAAATTCATCTTACATACTCATACAAACAGTTTTTATGTTTTGTAAATATCTCTTCACTACTCCTCCAGTTAAACTGGGATAATCCCTCCTGATGGCTCTATGGAGATAGGAACTATGGAGACTTGCACCACCAATAGACCAAATGAGTTAGATTGCTTGAATGTCAATTATTTCAGCCCATTCAAAATACAGACAGACCTGTGATAGATCTGATAGTTTTTATTAATTATTTCACAATAGTACTACCATTAGGAAAAAAAAAATCTATTGAGAGGTTCTACTCCATATTATAGTTAAGTTACTAGCTGTGTGAAGAGTTTTCTTTAATTAAGAGCCTGTTTGTATTCAGGTGACTCTTAGGAAACATTTGTTAATGGTTTGTTTACACAATTAAAGACAAGTAGAGCAACTTAAATATAATTTTCTACTAACATATTGGGTTTTAATTATAAGTTGATAAAGTTTTAGCTACATGCACTACATCTATATCAATGTAACAAACTGTTTTATCCGTCTAAAACATGTTCTCTATTCTTTTATTCAACGTTAGGAAGAAGCAAAGAGCATGATATGATATTTTAGATCTGATCTCTATTTTCCTGTAGTTAAGGATACTTTACTAATATCCATGGCAAGGCTAGCATTAGATGCTAACTTCCCTCGAACTATTTAAGCCTTGTGCATTGCCATTGCTCTTTGTGATGTCACCCATTGTAGTCAATGGAATTGTCAGAAGTCTCTAAGGCTTTGATTAGGCATATTGGGTCACTTCCTGTTTTTGTTGTGACTTAGAGTTGCTACACATCCCTTAAAATATGAAATTGTCCTTTATTTGGCAGCTAAACATTTTGTCCAGTATTGAACCGATAAGGGACACAATTTGTCCCGTATTTTCATAAATCCGATACACTGGAAGACAAGGGAAAAGGGACTGCCAGGACATACTTTGTGGGATACACCATGGACTCCTGGAATGCTAGGAGGATGGTGTGTTTTACGATGTTGTCAGTGGAGGATATCGAAGATCTAAATATCTTCTGATGTATGATACTTGGATTTCTCCTGTTTGGATTAGGAGGATACATGATGCATCTACAATTACAGAGAATGTGGGTGGCAATTTGGGCATTGATCAGGCTGCCAGCAGCGGTTGACGCCCTCACAAAGGCTGCGAATGAGCAAGACTGGGAACTGAGCGGTATGCTGGCTGCAGTGGTTGAACTCAAAGGTGAGATGGGATAATATCTTGGATGTGCACGCTTGCTCCAAGGCTGAAAAGCCCAACAAATTTGGAATATTGGATTTGCCACGTAGAGCCAGCAAGAAAGGACTCAAGGCTGATGGAAAATTCCTGTGCAGCCTGCTCTCAAAACAATAAGTGTTATTTTGGATTTGGCCTCCCCCCTTATCAAAATATCCCCTGGATGTTATGGTGAAACGGCACAGAAGAACTGGTCGCCCTTCCCCTACCCACGAACACCTGTGGATGCATGCAGAACTGTAGTGCTGGTTGATAAACTTTCATCGTATCAAGGACAATGGCCTATGGACAGCGTTCATGAACGGACTCATAATGCATACACAAAAAATGTCTCAAATGTCAGATAGACTTTGATATGGCTTCAGCCTCCGATGTTTTGTTTCAGCTGAAATGTCTGTATTGTGTTACATGAGCTTTTCTTGCGCTGAGGGTTTTTTGATATCTCAAACTGTATCCTGTCAAGGATAAAGTGTGAAATGTGTTTTTTTCCCCCTCTCCCTCCCCAATGTGGTTACTATCTTTCCTCAGAGATAAAGGCAGCGCTATAGGAAACCGCCTCCGGGTTGGGGCCCTTGGCAGCCAAAAGAACATGCCAAAGGCATTGTTCTGCGGCACGCGTGGCCTCAGTAAATTGTTCCCCCTGTCAGACCCCCCCTAATGTACACTACCGTTCAAAAGTTTGGAGTCACATTGAAATGTTCTTATTTTTGAAGAAATACACTCTATACATTGCTAATGTGGTAAATTACTACTCAAGCTGCAAATGTCTGGTTTTTGGTGCAATATCTACATAGGTGTCAGGGGTTGGCGTTAAGGATTTTTACCATTTGCCTGAAGGGCTAGTGACTTTCACATTTCATTTGCCCAGAAACAATTTTTACTTGCCCAGTATAATGTTTGATAAATATAGTTCCTAATATTCATTTTTGTATATATATCAATGAAACATTTTTATTTTTTAAACGTTTTTTGTAATTCACGTTTACAGGTTCCTGGTGTGTATACATGTATTCATGCGTGAGATAATGAACTCAAGCCTACATTACCGTGTTAACATGCTTTTCCCCACTCTCATTATTTTTACTTCAAACTAAACTTTGCTTTAAACTGTTGTGTGCTTGGAAAAAT